CGGGACATGCTGTGGAATTAATCCCCTCACTGCCTGGCTTCAGGCAAGCCACAGAGACAGCAGCCAAAACCCTAGGGGTTCTGGGGGAGACAGGGGACAGTGGGAGGAATTAACTCTGTCCTTTCCTGGCTGCAGGCAAGCCATGGAGGTGTGGCTGGGGCTGGCAAATCCCAGCTGCAGTCCCCAGGGTTTGTCAGTGAGGAGCGGGAGGGAGAGGAGACAGAGGGAGGAATTTGCCTCAGGGGCAATGGCAGGCCAGCATCTGGCCACACCCTGACCCTACTCTGACTAGAGGGCAGAGGGGAGGGGCTCGCCCAATTCACTGGTACAGAGATCAAAGCTCCGCCCAGCCCAAAGAGCATGCCAGGATACTGGAGATGTCTGGTTTGACTTAAACCAGCAAGGGGTCTGGGGCAGACATTGTATAAACAGGTTTGAGCCAAATCAGTTAAGTCTGATACTACATTCAACCAGGTTTATTTCAAACTGGTTTCGGCCATTTTCAAACTAGTTTATGTGCACTGAATGTCTGTTTTGTTATAGGTTTAAACCAGTTTCTGATCACTTAAACTGGTTTGTATGTAACGTCTGTCCCTAGCCATGTGTTTTTCTTTTGACAAAGATGTTCTCTTCTGGACAACCATTATCAGGCTTCAGCAGTTGATATAGGTTTGCACAGGCCTCTCAGAAAGGTAAGTCTAGGAACCGACTTTAGAATGCACTGTGATTCCACGTGAATAAATAACTTCCACACTGAGTTGTGACTTCATTTTCCCGCTTTGAGAGACTACAAAAAAACCTCAAGCTGCATTAACATTAACAATAACAGTATTTACAGTTTAAAGAATTCAGCAAATGCAAAATTAGTAGAAAGACTATCTACTATGGAGGATGATTTAAAACAACAACAGACTAGAGTTTCTGAGGCAACTCACTATGTCTGTTTATAGGTAAGGCCTGGTCATGGCTGGGTAGTCACCCAAGTGCTTCAGGGAAAGGAAGAATCAGCCAGTCCCACAGGTAAGAGTAAGAGCCTTTTCCTTCCTGATTGACTTCAGAGATTATACTGAATCATAACTGCTCTGCTTTTACCTTGCACCAATTGGCTTTGTCCTCTCAAATTTCACTACACTCTTATTTTAGGTGGGAGCATCTACTAAAACTAGACAGTGAAACAAAAGCGCTTTCTATGCATTTTTATGAACTAGCATAAATTTGTAACAAAAAACTTGTAAGAAAATTCTACTATTTTCTTTTTCCTGGAACCATGCTTGTTTAAACTGGACACATTCCTCTTCTAAGTGAAAAAATACAGAAGACCTGAATTACAGCTGCAAAAGAACAACTCCTCATTAAAATACAACTGAATAGACTTTTTAATTATTTCATATGAATCTTTGGATTAAGAGCTTCATGTCTGAATTCAGTATAGTTTCTGAAACTTAAAAAAAAATAAATCACCCACACATGTCAGAGTACGTTCTCAGTTTTTCTATTACACTTTTTGGTTCATCCTAGAGAAATCCATATAATTAATACACACATAATAGACACCTGATAGAAGTCAGATATTTACTTTTGCCTCAAGAACACAGATTCAACTTTTGAAATGTGTGCGACTCAGTCAAGAAGAGAGTTGGGTGGGGGGGAGAAGCAAGCCTTTGCCAATTATCAAAAAACTGTATATCTTTTGAACTTCTGTTGCAAACATGATAATGCAATCATTTCATTAGAGACTTACTAGGTAATTTGTTAACTGTCATTTTAGAGGGGTTTTTTTGTGATTCTCTTTTTGCTTATACATTCCATTCTATGCACTCTTGAATGTGTGGTTAGATTTGGCTTAGTAATGATTCCTAAACTTCTAGAATCTCTCATGATATTATGGAAATGTACCATCTGGATGAGTCACTTACCTTCCTGATGTAGCTCATCTATGAAAATTGTCTCCTAATACATTCAAGTGTCATGCCCCATTTTGTTTGCTCAAGCAGACTAGCAAATACAATTATATCCAGTAACAGATATATATTAGGATTTTTTCAAAGCATTTAGGAAGTTCACATACTTTCACAAAAATGAGAGATGTTCACCTTCTTCTTCCAATGATCCTCAAAAGTCCCTAGACATGAGCACTTCAAACTTGGGGAAATAATCCATATCTATACATTGAATATTGATCCTAAAATAGGGAAACATTTCTCTTCATGTACATAATTTTATGAATCTTAGTTTGATGATGTGCACTGACTTAACCACACCAGGATGATATCAATGGGCTCAATTGTTTACTCTTTCACTGAAAGATTCTATTGGGGGGGGGGGGGGATTGGTTTAGAAATGTGGATAATATGTTAATGTAAACAGCCTAAATTTCAATTCTAAGTTTAAGTTACACTGGCAATTCCTGGATGGACTCCTCCCTTAGAGTAATTAATGAGTAACTGTAAGCACAGTATAAACTGACACTGTTGTCTTTCAGGTAAGGAGATAAAATTCTAACCACTCGTGTTCAATAAAATCCCGAAGTTTGAATAAAATACTGGTGTTGACTTTACAGGTATTTCATAAAAACAGGACAATTAAAGCACATGATAATCCATGTTTTGCAGCAGTTTAAACTAAATACCACAAGGTTGACTTCTGGTTCTAAACTTTTATGAAGAATTCAGTGCACTTTCAAATATAGACTTCTTTTGGAAAGGAATATAGTAATATTTCTGTGGATTAAAAAAACATAAAACAAAACCAAACAAAAACAAAACAAAACAATGCCATCCTGCATTTCCACCTAAATTAGATTTTGCCCTAACTTCATAGATTTCATAGATTTCATTGTAAGCTAGACAGTAATTAAAACACCTAATGCTGGACATGTCTTCTAGAGTCCCACAATGTAAAATCTTTTTTTCTCCAAAGGAAATCTTCCTTGTACTGTTGCTTTCTGTGGTAGGTCTGGAACTTGTAATAAAGACATGAGTGATGATTCAGAATTAAATGCAACTCAGAACTGTCTGTGACAGATATGCCTTACATGCAGTACTACTGCTCCAGATGTCAGTGGTATACTGTGATATGCCCTTTTCAAAGGAATCTACCAGAGATTCAGTTTCCTTCTACATATTTTCAAAACACACACACACACACACACACACACACACACACACACACACACACACACAACTAAAAGTTTGATCTAGATTATTTCATTGTGGTTTTAAAAAGTATGGATCATTGAAGTGTTTTGGAAAATTCAAATTCTACCACTTCCTAGAACGGTGAGAATCAGGTTAGTAGTCAGATACAGTTTGCAGATACAGCAGATAGAGATGCAGTGTTCTGTTTAACATCAATCAAAAAGTTGGCTCCATACTTCACACATACATGGAATGAAAGTCAAACAAAAGTATTTTATAACCCTGTGTTTTTGCAATATTATTTCCTCTGTTGCTGGCTACCCTTAGCATTTTTGAGATATGCAAAAAAGCCTTTTCTTTCCCTGCTAATTGAACAGAACTTATTCTGAGACTGCAGTGGCTTGTTTGTTCCATTCTAGTCAACACAGACCTCTGTCTCTCTCTCTCTTTAACATTACTTTCTTTTAAAATGCTGATTTTTAAACTTATTACATGCAATTCTAATTTGACTGCAGATACTGAGCTGAACGCATCATTGGCATGTTTCCATTAAATTCAGTGAATGGACATCAAAGATTAATGTGGTCTATTTTTGTCCCAGCATTTTATGATTACTGCACTTCTGTTTTTTTCTTGTAGATCTGCACTTTGGGTCTCTCTCAGCACTAATGTTATGGCCAGTTGACAGGAATATCAAAACTATAGATCAAATTTCCTTTTCTCTTTAAAAAAATATCATTTGATGTGGTAACTGGTATATTTCTATATAAAATATCTTGAGATTTATCTTTGATTCACACATTCAAATGTTAATGCTTTCAGTTTTACTCTGGTTTCTCTTCAGGATACTAATCAACAGCTTCCTGAATATATCCTTTCATGGTTTCCTAGTAAATGTTTTTGCTGCAATTTCCAGGGATGCTCCTCTCAGTCCCACTGCTGCAGGTTTGCCAACTTATTCACCAACTTGAGTGGAAACCAAATAGCCTTTATTCACTGTCACTTGGTGGTCAGTCCAACTGACAGATGAGATAAAATGCTAGGGTAAACAAATTCAAGACTCCTAAAAACGTATCATTTCAGGCATACACATTGGCAACATATAGGGGGTGCGTACGGGTTCACGTGCACCCCCTGCAAGAAGCGCTGCCAATACTGCTGGTGGCGCCTGCAGGTAGTCATGGCTCGCCACCCCACCCTCACTGTTGACAGACAGTGGCATCTGCAGGTGGTCACCAATCACTGCTGGCTGCCGTTGGTCTGTGGGAGCTCCCCACTCACTGCTGCCATGCCCCCATCAACGGTGGGTGGTCACCGTGCCTCCCCAGCCTCCAGGGGGCATGAGACATTCATGTACATATATTCTTCTTTGGACCATCCAATTGCAGGCTAACACATGGAACTGAACAGTTAGATAATATTTCTTCTTCTTGCAGATCATCTTATTATCATTTTAATTTATTTTCAATATTCCTTGACTATCTTGCCAACTTCCAAGTCACACAGGAAGCTACACTTCAGTTGAAGAGATACTAAATGGAGGGTATTTACAATAAATTTTTAACCACTTAACACTCTCGACATTTCCCTATCCTAGCAGAATTTTCATGATATTCTTGCTGCACTTTGGTGGTAGTCTCTGACTGTCAAGAAAACTACTATGGAGATTTTCTACCATCCTAGGAAACAGCTTTTATGACACGATTATAAAGCTCTTTTACTATTACTATTCTTTTTATAACTTGTCTTCTCAAAGCAACATAATCAACAATATGTTTTTTCTACCAAATATCAGTTCATTGGTAAAACTGTTATACACATTTGTACTTCTAGAAAAACGGTTGAATTAAAATGTTTGCTTACCTTCATCATTCTGGCCCAAACAATCTGTCAAGACAGTAGCAACTGCAATTCCCACAGTGAACCATTTCCATAGACAAAACTGCTGTAACATTTTCTGTCAAACTTCACTCAAGGAAGATCTGAAACAAGGAAGAGACAGATTTAACATGTTTAATCAGTAACTCAAAGTAAACACAAATGTCAATGTAAAGCAGTTATTAATAATTGTTATAGTTGATCAATTAAAACAGAGGTCTTGAATTGCATAAAACAAGAACTAGTTGTTAAACAGAAACAAAGTCAAGGCTAGAAAAAATTGTGGCCAAATAGAGTGGATCAGCTATACTGAGATATGTCCCAGTACAACTGACCTGCTTCACATGCACCTGTTGTCCTGCTTCTTGATGCAATGGGACAATGGGTCATGTGTTCTTCTGCAGTTTGAAGGGCCCATTCCTTCATGCCCCTGGAATTTCTACACAGGATTGAGCCCCCTAAGCACTGGGTGCACCCTCCTGGCTTTCTCTGCTTATTCAGCTGCAACCCTGGGATCTCTAGGGTGGATATGGGAAAGCAGAGAAAGACAGGTTTCTCCTGCTTACCTGGACATGTCCCTAGGATCTCTGGGGCATGTCTCAGTAATGGGGGGGGAACCTCAACTTTCCCCACTTGCCCAGACAGACCCTGGAATTCCCAGGGATCTCTCTCAGTAGGCTGGGAAAGTCATTTAGGCTCTCCCAGGGCTTGTGGAGCCCAATCCTGCATGGGAATTTTCCAGGTGCACAGGATTGGGCCCCTTATCCCCTGCCCAGGGGGACTGGGGAGCATGGGCAACTCCAGGCTACCCATACTCTCCCACCATACAGCAAATAAATATCCACCAAAGTAAAGCTGCACAAATTATTACTACTGTCGGTCATGACCATAAATGAGGGCATCCCCAGCATGACAAAATGCATGGATGTCTATTTGCTTTCACTTTTTGCCACCATAAAACAATGTTATCATGGCACTAAGGCAAGGAAATGTGAGATCTGTTTCTATGCTAAGTGATTTGTAATCATCAGCCATCAACAAGAGTTTGAGCTTGGTGTGTTTGTTTTATAGAAATCTAGGTATTAAGCAAATAAAAATGTGCTTCTTTCAGTGTAGTCTTGACACTTAGTGTTGTCCTGATTAGAAAAGTCAGTCTAACTGTCCAACTGCAAAACTTGCTTGGATAGATGTTCCTCACCCGCAGACAACAGAAGCTTTCCTATAAAAGAAGGGGTTCCAACTGATTGCAGCTATGCTTCCAATGACAGCTCAGATTGCTCTATGTCAGGCACAACAAACCAGCCCTAAAATAAAACTGAAGGCCTCAAGTGAGAGTAGGCTTATTTAAACAAGCTTTTTCCAGAGTGATATTACATGGCCTCTATTTACTTAGCCAATAAAAATCATTCATCTAATTCATTGGTAAAACAGTACTATTCTTAATATATTTTCTCGCATAAAACCATACATAAAAGCTGTATCAGATAGAACAACAAAAAGCCTGAGATGGAAAGACACAAAGAATAGTGAAACATAAGCAATTATGTAAAAAAAGCATACTGCTGTCATTTTACCCAAGTACTTAACCCCTCAGATTTTCATACCAATTTCTGCTCATATTTTTACTATGTCTAAAACTGTATTTTCTTTCATTTTTCACTCAGACTCTTTCCCCTACTTAACGGACTTCAACATCAAAGCAATCTAATCTATCATCAATCTGCAATTATTAAAGCCACTTATTTTCCTTCCAGAAATTGAACTTCTCATCTGGCCATTTGCACCATTACTTCTTAAGGATTTATTTACATCACAAACAACAGTATCATGTTAGGACTTCAAAGCTTCCTTCAAGATAATTTACACTATGCTACATTTATTGTACCCAAGAAAAAGCAGGGGTTTTGTTAAAAGATATACATGATTTCTATTAGCAGCAGCAAACATTTTTTAGCTTTTTAGCTTTTCTTTCTTAACCTATAGTTTTATCGTACGGAACAAATTGATTTAATTTAAGTTTCTGTGTAGATATGTTAAACAATATGAAGGAAACAGACACATGGCTTTTTAAAAAAGTTGTCACCAAAATGATCATCAAAGATTTTGAGGGAAATCTAGCATTTCTTAATAAGATATACAGAAGAGTTATTTCTTGTCCATTCCCCTGTGACCACAGAGAAAAAAGAAATCAATTCACCACCATTCTCTTTGAAACTACCCTTCATGTATTGAAGACTTAGCAAATCTGTTCTGTAATTGGAACATAAATATTGTTGTAATCTTAATAAAATAATTTTAGATAGCATTAGTTGTCAAACACCTTAAAAGATTTCATTTTTCAGAAATATTAGACAAAACCATCTTGATTACAAACATGCACCAAACAGTCTAGAATGAGTTATACATAAAGTTAAAGAGATCACATTCCTACAGTGAGGAGTGTTTGAAAAGCATATGCATTTCAAAAGTCCCAGATACATTTTTTTTCCTATTAAATAAATATATACATAAATACAATGAAAATAGATAAGTTAAATAAAAATGATTAATTTTATAATGCTAATTCTTGAGAGCTCAGATAACATCCTTCAGCTAAAACTATGGCAGTGCCCTGGTTGCCCCCACCTTGTTACACTACTGCTTCACACATGTTTAACTTTACTAGATGTTTAATCTCCTTTCATGATCAGGTTCCTAAAACCAATAAAAAGATAATGAACCAGATACATCCCTGCTTTAGTTATGTTGGCTTAAGTGGGATTTTCCAAGGAATTAATTGGATTCTGTAGCTTTTTACTTTGTTTGTTTGAACATGTATTAGATACCTTCAGAAGCTTATAAAATCAGATGTTCAGAAAGTTCTGTATAGCAAAAAGGTGCTTTAGCAAATACTATACAAGCACTTCAAAATCACTGGCGCACATGAATAAATCCATATTTCACTTTTTGAGCAAACTAGACTAATGTAAATATGCTCAATGGGAAATATTTGTTTACTTGACAAAACACAATAGGTCCTCTGAAACTACCATGGTTAGATAATCAGAGGTTCAAATTTATGACTACAGGCCAACCCCATATAGTGTTCTTAATTGCTTCCTGAACAAACAAGCATTAAGCAAAACTGAAAGTATTTGACAACCCAAGATGGCGGCCACAATTGTTTTTAATGACCCAAGATGGTGACCATGCCTGTTATAGCAAAACTTCATTGAGTGCTAAGTGGAATCAGGTATAAACATAAAATGAGCATTATAGTGAAATACCACTAAGTGAAAAAAGCATTAAGCGGGGGTTGCCTGTTTTTCCTGAAATTAGATAAGGAAAGTTCTGTATGGCTTTTTTTTTCCCTAATTTTATACAACAAAGTATAAGTGGACCCTTTTTTTTGGAACAGAACTTCATTGGATTACTTGGAGGAGAGTTGTTCCAACTCAAATCTCAATCAACCCTCATCAAGAGCGGGGAGGGAAAAAGTGGGGAAGAATTAATGAAAGATGCAAATGAACCAAAAAAGATCATGCCTGGCTATCATCCCAGTAAATATTTAATCCACAATTAGGTTTAAACTAAATCAAAATTCCAGTTATCCTTAATGGGCAGAAACATTGATTTAAATCCTTAACTTAATTTTGAACCTGATTTTACACCATATTAGTCAGTTACCATTGACATACTGAGATCAGAACTCAGCTATATATATATATATCTATTATAGCTATGATAAACCCATGTCTATGGGTATGGGAACACAAACGTTATCACCAGGGATCTGGGTTCTCCATTTCTTGTGGAAAAACAGAGAAAACCACAGATTTCCCTGTTTTATCAGAGGAAAAAATGGATTTTCCTTTTTAGCAGGGAAACCTGTGGATTTCCTCCTTTTGCAAAGAGCTCTGCAGGCTAGCAGAGCTCCAGCCTGCAAGAGTCATTCGTAAAAGGGGCAGAACCGCCCCCCCCCCACCCTGCTACTGTATAGCAAAAAGGTACTTTAGCAAATACTATACAAGCACTTCAAAATCACTGACACACATGAATAAATCCATACTTCACTTTTTAAGTAGACTAGACTAATGTAAATACACTCAATGGCAAGTATTTGTTTACTTGACAAAACACAATAGGTCCCCTGAAACTACCATGGTTAGATAATTAATATAGGTTTTTAAAACTCATTAAATACCTATTTACATGTCAAGTATTTATTCACGGAACCAACCAGAACCACTCCAAGGACCAAAACTTATACACTTGAATTAGTTCTCTTCCTCCCCTGTTCATTACAATTGCAATAAAATTGAAAAGTAAAAAATGAAAGTACTTGTAAATATTTAATGGCTATATTTTGCAATAGGCTGCAAATAGTAAAGTGGTTTTCAGGGGCACCCTGTTTTCAGAGTTCAAGCATTTATTAATATTACCAGCTATACTCTTTTCCAAATATTAGACATGTGGAAGAATACATTTCCCAGTGCAAGTACTCATTTCCCAGGTGGCCCAGATCCTTCCCAATAAATTTAAATTAAAAGTGTAGTGGGGGAGAGAAGGGGGGCAAAGCGGCTTTAAAAAAAGGTGTGAATTGGGGGATGGGACAATGTGCATTTCCCATTATAAAGAGCTGGTGGGGGGGAGGAGGGAAGAAGGGATGTCTCCTAGCTAAACTGGAACAGGGTTAGAAAGGGAAAGGGCTGAGATGCCAGCCCTGCAGAGTAGGTTAGATCAGGGCTGCTCAATTTCTAAGCAGCTGGGGGCCACACGTCCCAAAAGTTGAACCATCAGGGGTCATGAATCTCCAGGCTGTATGTCATAGAGGTCACTCTTCAGTGAACTGTAAACTTGTACCCCATCCCTTTGCTCCCAACCGCTCCCTCCCCCACCAACTGCTGCCACTGCACTCTGCGCCTCAGGGCTCTGGCTTCACCCTGAGCTCCCTGTGATGGTCGAAGAATGTGGAAGCCAGAGATGGAAGGGCAAATCCAGTGGCTCTGGCTGCTGTTGCAGCCACAGAGATAAAGGGAATGGTGGTCAGGAACCTGAGGGCCACAATTTACCACCTCATAGCCACATGTAAACTGTAGGCCACCAGTTGGACAAATCTGTTTTA